TGAGTGTTGTAAGAAGAAGGGGGGATGCCACACAGTGGTAAAAATTGACTTGTCCCAACTTTTTTGGGATTTATTGACGCCATGAAATTTGGAAACAACAGATTTTCCCTTAAAATGATACATTCTCTCAGTTTAAACTTTTGATCTGTGATTTGTGTTCTATTCTGAATAAAATTTTAGATGTTGGCACCTCCACATCATTGCATTCAGTTTTTATTCACAATTTGTTTAGTGTCCCAACTTTTTTGGAATCCGGTTTGTAGACAGGTAAATTCCATTGAGCCTCGAGGACTCATTTACAAGAGAGACTTGATTTCAACAAAGAATGATGACAACAATGGACAACAGTGACAACAATAGACAGTTATAAAAAGGCATACAGATTTATTTTTTTTTTACAAATAAAATGCCAAAAAAGTAACAATAACAGCTAGATTATAAGGCAAATGTAGAAAACTAAAAACAGGAACATGTCTGCATTGGTCCCTGCCAGGAGTCCAACAGATTACAACAGATAATTACTATTAATGTGCATGACACTACCTGTGCTTGTGCAGTAATGACTGTTAATGTGTGTGACACCACTCTTTAATGTGCACGACACCACCCATGCTTGTACAGTAAGGACTGTTAAGGTAGGGTATACATATTTATACTGTATAAAGAGGAGAGGTCAAAAATTTAAATAATAATATGGAAGTATCCCTGATCAAACCACAAGTTCTTTGCCATGCTGTAATCCCCTTCATGAGTTGAACACACAAAAACGGTTCATGTTAAAATCACCTTGCTTGTAACCTTTATTGGCAGTTTTGTGGATAATGACAACAATGTGGAATTAAAGCAACATTGTTGAAAATGTGAATGTATAACCAGTAATATCATCAGAGAAAATGAATGATGATGTAAAAATAGCTTTAGCTTTAAGAAGAGATGTTATCTAAATTTGGAACTAATGCTTAAATTTAGGTCAAATAATCTGCAGTTAGTGACTCAATTAAAATGTCTAAACTAAGCTGGCACTGTGGTGGAGGTGGTCCTTGCCGAATGGCTGGAACGTATCCTACCAGGTCGTAGTCTCAGTTGTCCATGGTGGATATCAAGATTGACAGCTGGTCTTTGGTGATGACTTTCCTGTTGGAGTGGAGGTTTTCCCAGGGCAGAAATCTGTCTACCAAAGGACTTCTTTCACTGCTTGGCTCCGAGGGTGTTCTGAGTTTTGGTGGGGGGTGGATTTTGTCTGCTCTACCCCCTCCCCCCATTCTTGTTGTGTTTCCCACAACATGACCAAGATCAAGGATTGGCAAAAGACTCCCTCCTCCTCTGAATGTCAGTTTTTAACTGATTTTAGAAAGGGAGTGTTTATGTAAAATCTTATCCAATCAGTGCAGCTTTGACCAACAGGTGGGTGTAACCTTTAGTTGCATAAATTCATTTGGGACATATAGTCACCACTGTAGTGAACTTAACCTGATGTCAAACTAAGCCTAAGGTCAAAACCCTTGACCTTAAGAACCTTGTGGGACAGAAACTGTCATTTCATTGATCTGCATCCAGAAATACAGTTTGACCCATCCTGAGACTTTCTTTCTTGAATTAATCAAGTAGAAATGACAATTCTCTATGATCATTACTATTTTACAAATGTTTTAATAATCAAATTGTGTTAGTTCAAACAATGTTTACAGGTTGAAGAGAACTACTCATTTTTATTTTACATAAACAGTAAGTAATGATTTTTATTCCTCATTCAAAGAAGAAATCAGGTTAATATGCATTTCTTGATTTTCTGTCTTCAATGAGCAAATTTGTAAGTGTGTGTCAAAGTTCGAGGTTCGGTCAACTAAAAAGTTTACTGAAAAGAAATGTCATGTTTAACTTTCACAGAAGATACTAGGTGAATTGACTCCACGAAGTCTGAAGTTCTCCAACAATCTTTCTGTCTGTTTTAAACAATCTTAATCTCTATCCTTGACTTTCCATAACACCTTACATCACAAACCACACCTCTGTTCTGGTCTATCCACCAATCAAAAAGCTCTCAAATGACCCGGAAGTCGAACCCATTTAAATGTGGCAACTTCCCGGTTCTCTAAAAAGTCTGTGTCGAGATGAGTCGAGACGAGAAAAGAAGAGCCTGAAAGAGTGGGAGAAAAGAGTTCAGAGTTCTTGGATGCACACGCAGGCATTCAAGCTGATCCAGAGACGATGTTGGGAATTATAACTTCTGTTTGGATAACCTCGCACGACTCTCTAGGTATTTGGCTGTTCTCAACGGAGACGCTGAAAGAGTCAAAAGAAGAGCTCTACACCGACGCTGAAACTATCATCAACCAGGTAAAAGTTCTATTTCGACCAAGCGTACCGTTGGCCAAGCTGAGTTCCGAAGGAGCGTGCACGTTCTGGTTAAAACAAACAAATTCCCTCACACATCTCTCTGTAAGATAAATCTCCATTTTCCATCTTTAAACTCTCCTTTCTCCTAAAATCATTACAGATATTTTTAGAAATGTCTGAAGCAAAGTTTCTCAATCACCGCCGTGTGAATTGATGTCTGCTGTTCTGCTGAAAAGTGAAAACAATCGCCGTATTGTTCTCACTTCCTGTAAAACTATGCTGTTGTTATTTTCATATTTTGCCAAATTAATGTAAATGTTTGATGTTAAACTTTGATTCTGTAAATAAATGACCGCATTCATTTTGATGGGTCAAAGATAAATAACGTCTCTCGTTACATTTCTGTTAAATTCAATGCACGACATTTACACAGTCAGAAAAATGAAGAACCCGTTAAATGTATGAATATATCTGCACCCTGTTCATACTACACCACCCCTCAAAGTCTGAAAAGAAACTATGGTTTTACTTTCTTTAAATAATAAAATCTTAACCTGATTTACAAGATATCCTGATGCATTCTCAATAATCCAGGTAGAAAAATCTAAAAAAGTTAAATCTGGTCCTCTGGACATTCAAAAAACAAAACAAAGCAAAACAACAAAAAATGTAGAAACGTTTCGTCTCTCATCCGAGAAACTTCCTCAGTCTGAGGTGCTGTTTTCAGCTCAGTCTCTTAAATAGCACCTTCTCAGAGTGGATCAACCAGTTTGATGCTGACAACCAAAACCAGCTGATCACATGCTCAAGAAGGACCATCAGCCTAACAATGGATCATTAGCACCTGATGGCTGTTTACTGTTCACAGAGGGCTGAGTGATACTAGCAATCACAGCATTGTAAGAGGGGGACAGTTGAACCCGGAGGCTCCACCCCTGTTTAATGATGGACGATTTCTTTTCACAAAGATGGCCTCCTTTACTCCTCTCTCAAACCATCGTTCCTCTCTATCCAGGATGTGAACATCTTCATCCCTGAAAGAGTGACCGCTGGCCTGGAGATGAGTGTAGACCTCAGAGTCCTGGCCTGATGATGTTGATCTTCTGTGCTGGTCCATCCTTTTGGCCAGTGGCTGTTTAGTTTCCCCGATGTAAGACTGATCACCCTCCTGACACTGAACAGCATACACAACATTACTCTGTTTGTGCCGGGGGACTGGATCTTTGGGATGAACCAGTCTTTAATGTATTTTGGGGTTTAAAAGCCACTGGGACGTTATGTTTAGAAAATAAACGTCTCAGTTTCTCTGATACTCCCTCAACATATGGAATGACCACTGGTCTGGGTCTGGGTTCCACCTTTTCACCTGATGGCTGACTGGAGTCCTGTTTGGGTTTCTTCTCTGCTTTCAGGAAAGCCTGGTTTATGAGATACAGTAAAATAACGTATGTATGGCTTTGAAAAAATAGTTGAATCCTAAAGATAAATCATTTAGGATCATTAGCCTTTCTGTCCTCTCAACCAGCCGGTCAAAGCAGATGGCCACTTGTCCTGATCCTGGTTCTGCTGGTGGTTTATTCCTGTTAAAAGGGAGTTTTTTTCTTTCCACTGTCTCCACTGTGCTTGCTCAGGATGGGAGACTGCAACAAAGCCAAGATTCAACTTGTCTGCTGCTTCCTTAGATAGAGAACTTTACTAATTGTCTTTTATGTATGTGAATGTTCCTGTAAAGTGCCCTGAGACAACTTTGTTGTGATTTGATGCTTTATAAATAAACTGAATAGCCACAAATAGACACATGGACTTTTGATCAAAAGTTATTTAGTTTTCTTTTTCTTTCCTTATTGCTTTTTTAAGTTTTTTTTTAACTTGCTAATCTTGCATTGTTTAATTATAAATAAATGTTATTTATTATCAGTGAGAAATCGGTGCTGCCTATATAAGTACTATATCTTCTCAGACTAATAACCTTATAATAAATACCAAAAATGTCCATGCTCAATTATCCTAATCCTAATAATTTATAATAAACAATAATTGGATTGTATATCTGGATTATTGAGCATGGACTTTTTTTGGTTTGAGCCAGTTTGACATGACTGTCGATAAGGAAGAGGGCCGGCAACAGAGGAGGGGGCGTGCCAAAGACACCATCTTAGCACCAACAAAAGTGGTTTGTTCCACTTTGGAGTAAGCTGTTTGGGGAAGAATCAGTTTTGTGTTGTGTGTTTCTTTGACTGATGAAGCCTTCTGGATGGAAGGTGAAACGTTTCAGCAAAAAAAAAGAAACTGTGCAGATGACCTGACTGATAATTGTTGGTTTGGGGAGTGGTGGCGCAGAGGTTAGAGAGGTGGGCTTGTGATCCGAAGATCGCCGGTTCACGCCCCGGCCCCGACAACATCAAAATTGTGGTTGGGGTAGGTGAAACACCCACACTTGCCCCCACCCTCATTCGCCCCACTCTGGGCCCATGAGCAAGGCCCTTAACCCCCACCATGTGCTCCCTAAACAGGTCTCTCTTGAAAATGAGTTCTCGTGGCTCAATGAGACTAACCTGGATAAATAAAGGCTAAATGAAAAAAAAAGGTTTATAATAAATAATAAATAGATTACATTTTTCTCAATTTTTTTTCTTTTTCTCCTGTCTTACTTTTTTGTTTAGTACCCTCAACAACAACAACATCACCCTCATCCCCCTGTCCAGCTTCAACCACATGCCCAAGCTGCGGACACTGTGAGTACAACACACACACACGCACATGCACACACACACACACATGGACGGACCCACTAACTGACAAACTTCCGCACACAAATGCCACTTTTGCACAACTCCTACTTAGCCCTCCACGGAAAAACGCTATTCCACCAGTACTTTTTAGCTGATTCGAGGCTGATTTGGGACCTATTTTTGTCCCTGCTTCTCTGGTGGGTCCGTTGGAGCTGAGTCGAGCTGGCTCTGGACTGAAATGTGAATGCAGGACACTGATTGGTCAGGGGGACGAGTCACTGGATCTCAGAATCGTTTCACTGATTTGCCATTTGCATTTTCTCGGAAAGCGGAGCAGCAGCTGGATCAATAAAAACAATAAATATAACAATAACACAATATAATAACATAATATATACAATATACATAATATAACAATAAAAGTAATAAAAACAATAATGACAACACGGTGTTTAATGCTGAACTGCAGGCGTATTTTGTGTTTGTTGGCCAATGACAAAATTCGAGCGAGTGGAGTCACCGCGGAGGATCATACGAGCTGCTGACCTGTTGAAGCACGTGAAGCCAGACCCTGAGCCCTGGCCTCATGTGCTCACAAAAGCTGGATTCTGAGCACTGGCATGCGAGAGGACCGGGAGTCCAGGACGGAGGGTGGAAACCTTTTTTTTTTTTACATTTTATGTATAAAAAATAATGTTTTTTTTATCAGTGAAGAACAAACCTAAATAAACGGTGCCAGCTTTATCATGAAATCCTGTTTTCACTTTGACTTTATTAAATAATCTGTTAATTAAAGTTCACTCAGCTGAAAAATCATAAAAAGACTAAATTTTTGTCTCTCTCAGTAATATTTCCCTCAAACATGTTTAAAGAAGAGATACAGCATTTGGTTAAACTTTATTCTAACCCACAGATGTACAAATTCAATTCACTTAAATTCAATTTATTTATAAAGCGCCAAATCACAACAAAGTTGTCTCAAGGCACTTTACAGAAACATTCACATACTTTGTACATAAAAAAGCCAATTAAAAAGTTTTCTGTCTAAGAAAGCAACAGACAAATTGAATCCTGGCTTCGTTGTAGTCTCCCATCCTGAGCAAGCACAGTGGCAACAGTGGAAAGGAAAAACTCCCTTTTAAAAGGAAGAAACCTCCAGCAGAACCAGGCTCAGGACAAGCGGCCATCTGCTTTGACCGGCTGATTTGAGAGGACAGGAAGGAGAGACAGACGAACACAGAATGGTAGGTCCAGGTATAGGTCCAGGTATATCTGAAGGACAAAAAAAAAACACGTTAAGGATAGAAAAATAATTACAAATACAAAACAGGTTGAGCAGAGTAAGTAACGACAGTAGCAGAGTGAAAAAGTGTGGTCAGTTTGTCCTCCAGCAGTCTGAGCCTATAGCAGCAGAACTAAGGGACAGCTCAGGAAACTCAAGCACAAACCCAAATCACAAAACAAGAATTACACTTTAAATCACTAAAATAAAATCTGTACACAAGAAACAAAACCACATAGCAAATATATTGAACAATAAAAGTAGAAACAATGAGTGCAAATACTGATGAATGATGAAAAATAATAATGATGAAGAAAAATATGGAATTTTTATTAAAAATGTTTTTGTAGAATCTGGTTCATCAGAAATTTAATTAAATTCAGTTTATTTATATAGTGCCAAGTCACAACAGAAGTCATTTCAGGGCACTGAACAGAAATATTCATATATAAAATAAGTTAACAGAAACATTCATATTTAAAAATAATAATTTAACAATATTTATCTGAGGAGCAGACTGCTTTGAGTTTAAATCTCATGGCAGAACTCTCACTCGTTGAACTAAGTTCATTAAAAGTTCATTAGCAGGATTTAGGATTCTGTATCCCTCCCTCTCTGTTTTCAAGTCCCATTTAAAAACTCACTACTATTCAGCAGCTTTCAACACCAGATGATCTGTGTTTTGATCCTGTATGCTCCACACTGGTTTGTCATCATTATCTGCATCGTTTTTTGTCTATATTCTGATTTACCTCATTTTGTATTTTGCTTTGTGTGTTACCTGTTGTTTTGTCTGTACAGCACTTTGGTTGGCCTTGTTGCTGTTTTAAGTGCTTTATAAATAAAGTGGTATGGTATGGTATGGTATGGACACGCCTCCAGAACCCGTCCTGAAGTGCGGTGCAAATCAGCCTGATCTGAGCAGGGCTGAGCAGAGTTGGGGCTGAGTAGGAGCAGTGTAAAAGTGGCAAAAGATGGATACTACAGTGGCTCTATGGTGTAAATGAATGTGTACCATCCGTTCAATTGTTATTTAATTGAGTATCAAAAATTTAAGTCTTCTTATTACCATGTGGGATTGTCTGAGAGGACACACCATCAGTTGTGTTATTTGTGGACACACTAGGGTTGATTTCCCCCAAAACAATAAATAAACAATTGCTTTATTTATTTATTTTTCACTGGTCATTATGACTTTGCAGAAAGTACATTTAATATTTTAATGCATCTTTTATAAAATGCCAAGATGACCAGGATGAGAAAACACAGAAGAACACAAGGACCAAAATAACAAAAATTGACAGGCAAACCTGGGTGGTCTCAAAACCAAGAACAAAACCAAAACCCAGAGTCAAGGTGGACGGTCAGGGTACCATCCAAGGCAAGCCCAATGCTCAGGCGGGAGGTCTGGCGACCATACAAAAGAGGCAGATGATCAGGAGGGCGGCCTGAAAACCATCCATCTCCAAGCCCAAATTCCGACGGGCGGCCAGGAGACCATCCGTGGGCAGCTGAGGCAACCACCTGTGTCCTCTTGGACTCAGGTAGGAGAAGACCTCGGGCAGGAGAAGACCTCGGTGGGTGGACCAGAGCTGCAGACCTTGGCAGGCAAACCAGAGCTGCAGAAACAAACGTGGAGGATGAAAGGGTTAAGAAATGAGTGTAAAAAAGGAATTACTTGTATTCATGTTTCTTAAAATTAAGAACAAGAGAAGCAGAAGAGAGATACAAGAAGTATAAAAACAAACTGATATGGATTATAAGAAAACATAAGAAAGAATACAAAGTTTGTTTTCTCAGTCATCCAGGTATATAACAACAAAAAAGTTTGAATCATGTCATCTGGACTTCGTTTTTTTTGTTAAAAAGAAACGTTTCGCCCCTCATCCAAGAGGCTTCGTCAGTCTGAGGCCTAGCCATCTGGTATTACCCAGAAGCCACCCTGACTCTTGTGTTTCAAGCCTGCCTCAGATACCCCTGAAGTCTGGCCTTTTCACTAATGGTTTCAAAAACACAAAGTTTGTTTTCTTACCTAAATGACTGAGAAAACAAACTTTGTGTTTTTGAAACCATTAGTG